AGCAAATTACCATTTAAAAGCGTTAAATTCGATAAAAGTTGAGTGCGCTATCCGTGTAAGTGAGAAATTCGTCCGTGAAAACCACGAATTAGCGATTAGAAAATGTGAGATCGCAAATCACTCGCACAAGTGCGTACAATCTGGAAATCGTTTTCTTACAGATCGCTAATTTGTAATTTTTGAAGCCTGAATTCGGCCCTAAAACATGAAGATACTGATTCAAAACGCTTTAATCGATTTGGGACAAAGAAATCCCTCATGTTATCTATATAGTTCCATTGCATTTTCCTACTACATTCGATTGCATAGCAGTCATTCCACACCGTTTGGAGTTGAATGACAGCTAGTTTTATAACTGATCCATTTTTCTCTGAAGAGCAGTCGACAGCTGGACCACTGTGATTGCAGCTCACTTAAAGTCAATGTTAAAATGTTTCTTGATACATGAACTGCAGTAACGTGGCATTTTAGATACTACGTTTTTTATGCAGGGCTGCGTCCCACCTCACGTGTGTCGCACAGTTACTTAGGCAACATTTCACAATGAACGTCTTATAAGGCCGACACTTCCCCTCTTCCCACCAGACCTCATCAACCTCTGTGACTTTTGGCTATTGGGTTATCTCAAAAGCACTGCTTATGGTGATAATCTAAACAATTTGGCAGAAATGAAAAATGTGATACACTGACATGTCCGTAACATTCCTCCTGATATGCTAAGAGCTGCTGTTGAGAATTTCAGTAACAGGATTTAACTTGCTTTCGGAAAATGCTGGACGCTGCATTGAACATGCTTTGTAACATGTTTCGGAAACTATTAAACACATTTTAAACAGACGTTTTCATGGCTTATTTCATTTAACAATATTGCATACAGCACCATTTTCCCCCTGGTGGTGAGTTTTTGAACTCTTTTTTTTTCCCCCTTGGAAAATAAATTCCCATAACCTCATTTACACGATTCCCAAGTTTGATAGCATTTGGTCCGGTAGTTTTCCTTTTATGGCCATTTCAAAGTGGAACTTTAATTATAACCACCATGTAAATTAAACTTTAAAAGTTTGACAGTTTGGTTCAAGTCCCAGCTTTAAAAAAATATATATAAATATAATTTTTTATATTAATCCTCTTAGAAAGCATGTTTTAAGAAGCTAATTTTTCTCTCGCGTTATAGATTGTATAAAAAAATATGATCTTTATTATGATTTAGATTGTTTCAGCCGATATAAGAATCGGGTCAATCGGTGGTACAGAATAAACCCTGCTGGACTGTTTTATTTCTTTGTCATTCAGCAAAAATCTTTTAATTAAAATATTTATCCTTTGGACTTCGTTTTAAGCTTTATTTATATTTAAAATGACTAGAAAATGAAAAGCTGTCTTCAGCTGAAACGCAATTCATGTAATTAATATTTAAAAAAATTGACAAGAATGCAAAATTTATGGAAGTCTAGCAGTCGAAAAATCTTAATTTCCTTGTGTGAGCACTGAAAATAACTGTAGAAAGAAGAAAATTAGGGAGAAAAGTAAGCAAAAATTTGCATAGAAATTTGGCTGTCAGACATACCAAGATGTTTGAAAAAGTTGGACGCATTTGAATATACTTTCAGGATACTTCAACGAATTTAGGTGTTCAAAGAGAAAACACATGGACGTGAACACCAGCAAATGCCATCAATAGAGCTTGTGTTAACAGAAAAGACAAAAACGATATCATTGCAGGTTAAAGTGAAGAGCGACTGGTTTTAGACTATATGATTGTTTAAACTTAAATTACGTTATAGAACATCATATCGTATCATAAAAGGAGAATCCCATAATTTTTCTCAGTCGAATTATTTGAAGATTCAGGAGTTTATCCAGTGATGTATGTGATGTCACCTAAAGATGTTTTTTCTCCTCCTGATGAAACAGCGGCCGAGCGGTAAAGTCGCTGAACACTGGTAGTTCGGTCCGAGTTTCGAATCCCGCGAACGGCTGGCTGCATGGGCGTTTCTGTGGTTCTCCTCATGTGTAAAGTGTATTCGAGCCAGTTTTCCTTAGAAAGTCCTCCACGAAGGCATCCCTCTTCTTACGCAGATAGCTGTAGTGTGCTTTGTCATAATTAAATAAACCAAAACCTCTTGATGAAGCCAGTCTTTCCTTTCATCTCATACTTTCAAAATGTTTAGCCTCTAAAGACTGATAAAGGCTCTGACCAAATACTGATGTAATGGATTGAATTGGATTATTAAGTTACTGCAAAGCAGGGCTATCTTCCTAAAAGAAAGGATGCCTTCGTGAAGAGCTTTCTAAGGGAAACCAGCTGGCATACACGGTACACATGAGAAAATCCACGAAAACGCCCATGCAACTAGCCCGTTTATCGGGATTCGAACCCCGGAGTGAACTACCGGTGTTCAGCGACTTTACCGCTCGGCCGTTTGTGGGCCTTTATGAAATGGAAGGCGATAACTTTATTTAAAATGATTGTCAGAAATACCAAGATATTTCGAAAAGTTGGATGCTTTTTAATATACTTGCAGAATACCTAAAGAAAAAGAGCAAGAATAAAGTAGAATGCTTGAAGAAAAAGAAAAGAAAAATGCATTTTTGTTTAAATTTAGTATTTGTATTTTTTTTTAAATTTAAAACCTTTTAATCTTATGATATTTGATTCTTACGATTTTAAAAATAAAATATTTGAATAAAATATGAATAACATTTTAAGAAACCAAATGTAGGATAAAATTGTGTAAAGCAATGGGCGCAATGATAAAACTGTTTAAAGCATTGTATGCAAGTCATCCTGAGTTAAAATGTCGGTTATACATCTCTCTTATTTATATATGTCTTTTCTGAACGGAACATTGAAAGGCGTGTTAACTGTGCTTTACTGTATTTTCTCTTTTAATATATGCAGTTTTCAAACGCATCGTAGTCTGGGTTAAAAGTATTTTCCGAAAGAAACGCAATTCAAATAAATAAAACCAAATTCTGGAAAATTTATATTAATAAATAAATTTAAAATGCTCACTTCGAATGAATAAATATAAAATTTTAAAACAATTATCTAAAGAGACAATGCAACACAAACAATTAAATCGAAATTTTTAAAACAGTTATTCGAAAAAAAAAACCATGCAACTTAAACAATTAAAATGAAATTCGAAAAAGAAAAAATTACTTAAAATAATAACAGTTATAATTAAAAATATAGCATAAAGAGTATTATTTGGAAAAAAGGAACGATTGTGACTTTTTTTCCTCTCATGGGGAAAGGAAACTAGGTTGCCATATATTAAGAAGTTCGCCAAGTGAATTATTCTTGGCGGAAACTGTAAAAAAAAAGTGCCAACCTAAATTTGTGAATTTCTCCGTAAATTTCGCTCCAAATTTTACAAAATTTCATATTTAGTCATATTTAGGCGTAATTTGAGTTGTAGAATCGAAATATGTAAAAAAAATTGGTATGTTATTTCAGAAAAGTTCGATTTTGTGTCAAAATACCTATGTTACAATAGTGCTATATATAAATCTAATATATATCCTAAGAGGCGCTTTGGAGACATGAAGAACGCAATGTGAATTTTGTCAATCGGCCCAGTAGAACGAGAAATATAGAACTGTCCCATTTTTTTTAGCAGTGTACCATTGTTTTATCACAATGCGAGGAACATACATGCATTTATGCAGATTCTTCATTATTTAATTTCTTCAAATATAGTATAGACCTTTAATACTTAATGGCAACAACTTGAAAAGTGAAGCAACGCTTGTAGTGAATCGACGTTAAATGCCAAAGCAAAATTAATAGTCCTTCTGGGAAAATTGCCTCTTTGGACTAAAAATAGATTTAATTATACATAATGCCTCTGACAATTCTTCAGAGTGTCTGATATTTGAACTAAAGTTGCTTATTCCCTGGAGCTCTAACTAATATTTAGCACACATAATAGCGGCTGAAGGTAGACGAGGTAAAGATAAACTAAGCTGTCGAAACAGAGGGAGCTGTCATTGGGAAATAATAATAAAAACTGGCTTCATAATGGATAATAAATAAACTGGCTTCATAATTAAAATAAATAAACTGGCTTCATAATGGAGAATTATGAAGCCAGTTTATTTTATTTAATGATTCGCTGATTATTTTTCAGTTTCGTGTATAGCAAATTAGCAAATTAATACCATGTAAAAAATTATATTTATGACGTAAAAATACGACTAGCCACTTTAAATTAAATAATAATAAATTTAAGATTTTTTTTTGATCCACTCAAAGCTGTTAGGGCTACGTTGCTATCAATAAAACTCTATATTTTCTAACGGAGTGGGAAAAATCAAACCTTAATTACGTTTAAGAAAGAAAAGTAAAAATGTCCCATTTTTTTTTGTTCAAGTTAAAAAGAAGATTTCACTAATATTTATGAAAAAAAAAGAAAAAAAGAAAGAGAAGGTATTAGTTACCTGTTTCACTTTTTTTAAGGGTAATTAATTCCTAAATAATAAAAACTTCATATATATTCATACTCAAAATGAAATGTTTGCTTATTAGCCTGAAATTAGATTATTAAAAATTAGACTGAAATTAGACTATCATTAATGAAATTATACATTAATCTAAAATGTATAGTTTCTAGTGAAATCAAGGGAAGATAAGAGAAAGCGAATTAACCTTTTCCTTTCTTTCATCATTAAATTGTTTTGAGAACTGCCTTCTGTTAACAACACAAAAAGCATTGACATGATTAAATTTCATTCATGAATTTCAAGGCTGAGAATTAATTTTGAATCATGAAATTTACAGTGCAACAACCCATGTCAAACTACCACAAATTTAGATTAGGCAAATTTAAGCCAGATTTTGTTTTTTTGTGTGGTTGAGTTACAAGAGAAAACTCGATAATGAGAATTCTTGGTAGCATAATAAATAATTTAAAACTATGTAAATAATTGCAAGCATTATGATTTATAAATGGTATAATTTCATCTACATTAATACTGATATATTTTCTTTTCAGGCTGGCGTTATACGAAATAGAGAATTTACAGGTGCGTGTTTGAAATATATGTCTGATATGTACTTATATTTTTAGGCAATTAACAATTAGTAGATATATGAAATTTTTGTATATTATAAATAATATTTAAATCCCATCAATCTAGCTTGTTGATTTTTAATTTACTCAATAATAATGTGATGTCTGAAATTCATAAGAGAGCTTTCTTTTATATCCAAATTCATGGATCGCGAGAGAAAATAAATCAAAAATAATTTATAAATGTGGCAGGTTATTTATCATTTCATTTTCATTTTCAGAAATGTGCCTTTCCTATTCATCATTAACTTTTCTTTTAAATGTTCTCGAAGTTCTGATACCATTAGTTGTACTTAAGTTGGCTTATGACTTCAGAATCTCAAGAAAGTCGGTATAAGCACATAACTGTTTTACAGCTCAAACCGCACCAGCATTAAACATGGATATAGTTGGACGCATTGTTACCTCATTCTATGATGATTACCGCACTTTTTCAAATGCTAGAGGTTTTTCGTTTTTGAACTCGCTTGGAATAACATTTGTTCAAAATTGACATATTTGTTCAAAATTGACATATTCTCCCTTTACCCTAAATCTCCCTTTCATAAAAATCTGAGAAAATCTCGTTAGAAGCAAAGAGTTCCACATTTTTTACCTTTACATTCTATCCATGTTCACATAGTGATAAATTATGTGCATCATCCACGTCTATCAAACTCTCTCAGAAACAAAATTGCCAAGTCAACCAACTTCTTGCAATATGCATTTATGGTTTCGGTTACAATGATTTAAATCCATATATAATATAATAAATTTTCAGTTACAATGATTTAAATCCATATATAATATAATAAATTTTCAGTTTAATTATATATAGAAATTATAGTAGCTAATTGTATTGTAGTTACTTTAGATATATGAGCCTAAAATGCGAGTTAAAGTTTTTTTTGTTTCTTTCTTTTCTTTTCTTTTTTTTTTTTTTTTTTTTTTTTTGTTTTTTTTTTTTTTTTTTTTTTTTTTTTTTTTTTTTTTTTTTTTTTTTTTTTTTTTTTTTTTTTTTTTTTTTTTTTTTTTTTTTTTTTTTTTTTTTGTTTTTTTTTTTTTTTTTTTTTTCTTTTTTTTTTTTTTTTTTTTTTTTTTTTTTTTTTTTTTTTTTTTTTTTTTTTTTTTTTTTTTTTTTTTCAGAAAGCTCACAAGCTTCAAGCAATTTTGAAGAAAGTCGTATACCTTCTTCTCAAGTACATTCAACAGAGATCAAAGAAAAGGAAAAAATTCCTTTGATAATGGCAGAGAGAAATGAAGTTCTCACAAATCAAGAAATTCCTAAGGATATTATAGACACTGAGGAGAACAATATAAATAACATGGTAGATGCAAATTTAGATGGTGTGATGAGAGATATCAGCGGAGGTTTCAATGACTACGTTTTAGATGAAATGGCTCATGAAAATGGAGTTATTAAAATACGTATCATGCAGAGTCTTGAGGTAAGATTTATCATTTTATTGTGCTTTTACATATAACCTTTTTCAAACATCGGTTTATGAACAGATTTCAAAGGACTTTTTAGAACCTCTGTGTTTAGATACGCAAGAGGCTTCTGAGTGAATAAAAACAAAATCTGGATCTTCAGTTTCCACACTTTAGTGTGCAGTTTACAGAGCTCATGTCAAAGCTTATCAAACTTAACCAATAAGTTATAACTACTATAAACGAATTTTATCATTTGAACAATATGTCATGCTATAAGTAAGATTAAAATAGTTTTTAACTATCATTAAAGTACAGTATTTGTGCAATAATTTTAGTATGGTTACAGGAACTGAACACAAAACTTCTCCTTCTGCAGACGGTTGCAGGGTCTCAGTTGTTAAAATAGTCATCTACTTTTCCTTTTTCATAGTCTTACTAAATGCTAGCTGCTTATACATATTGCGAGCAGACGCGAAAGTTCCGGTATAAAAATCTGTTGTGATTTTTCGTAGTCTCATGCAATTTGAACTGGAATCGATCCGGAAGTTGAACATGACCCATAAGTTTTCGAAATGGACAGTTTTGTTATTTTCAAAAATCGTTTGGAAGAGAGGCGCGCGGGAGATGGACATTTTCTGAACATTTTAGTCACTTTTTATACTTATCATGTGAATAAATCTCTTTTTATGTATAGAAGCAGAGATTATTACGCAGCTATATGACATCTATATCGGGTTGCAATACGATTTACGCTACACTAATTCGTGTCATAGTGTTAACTTAAGTAAATTAAGGATGAGGAAAATTTTAGAAAATAATAACATTAAGAGAGGGTAAACACTGATTTCATCACAAAAGGGAAAAGACCAGGATGGACGTGTTTCCAGAGAAGCAAAAAAACGTGTGAAAGTTGTTAGTCGTTAGAGAATGTTGTAAGAATTTGGCTGTGACAAGAAGACTAAGGATGTTGCCACTTTTCATATATATAAAACGAGTCCATACACTTGGTTAAAGAAATGCTCCCTTATAGTTCCCCAATAAATTGGTGTCTCTTAGAGGTGTCGTCTCATTGCCTCAGAGAAATCCTTTCACCAATCATCTTTTTTAATAGGTCACTCATAAAATATTCGTGTATCTAAGAGTAAACAGATAACAATGATACAATTGGAGCAAAACGTTCGGGATGAAATACCGCAATTTTTATGCAATGCAATAGGCGCGCCATGTATCAGTAGCTTTTCAAAATCTATATTCTCAATTGCAAGGTGACCAAAGGCATGACAGCGAACATCTTGACACTATTAATTTTAAGAAGTAAAATAAAGAATATGCTTGTTCTGCTAAATAGAAGTTCGATAAGTTAACTTAATCACATTTCTTCTTTTGACTTCCAAAAGAGCAAAAACCGATGACCCACCTCATATTAGAATTTGTATTTAAATTCAGCAATACCCTCTTATAAACGTGCAATATGCTACAAGCAGACAAACTGGCCAAACAAACAGCATTAATTTCCCATTCTTCGCATATCAGCACATGACGATCAATATCACACTTCCAATATATTTTACTGAAATTCAATAACTGAACCTAGAAACAAAAATGAGAGCAAGCAAATTAGGTACAAGAAATCAGAATAAGCAGATTAGGTATAAGAACGAGAAAAGGATGATGACAGGACTGAATGTAAGTAGCATGAAAATGACAGTTCTGCGACAGGTGGATCAGTGGATCAGGGGGCGTGGTCAATGACATCACAGAGGGCGGGGCCAAAGGCAACGTCATCACACTAGGAGGCGTGGTTTCGAGTGGAGTTGAGTTGTTGGTAGACTGCTGATTGAGTTGTAGACCTCCTGCTTTTCATTTAAAGTTAGTTTTTTTTAATTTGGCAACGGAGTCATGGCGTCCTCTAGGGACGAAAAAGAAAAATAATGTATTTAGGAATTGCTTATGGCGTCCTCTAGGGACGAAAAAAAAAGTGAATTATATGTTTTAGAAATATTTTTTTAAGTCTGGTGTTAAAATTATTCAATGCGCGACTCTGAAAACAATGTAAAAGAAACAAATATAAAAAAGACTTTCCTTTAATGATAGTTCATCATGTCATGAAAATGAAATTACAAGATAATTTGTTTTTATTACTCAATTTTATTCTGATACTTTTATCCTTTCTAGTTTTTAAATGAAACTTTAACTTATTTCTTAGGTTTTCTGTTCATAATAACATATTCATTTACTGTCATATTTTTTTAATACTTAACACGTTTTTTCTAATTTGTAATATTTATTTAATTTCCACATACTATTTTTTTTTTCATACCTTTCATAAATTTCAGCATACCCTGATTTTTAACTTATATGTTATATTTCACAAACGTTCCCGCACATGCTGTTTATTTGTTACATTACTTAATTTTAGATGCAATTTAACACTTTTTTAACGTTATAATGTTCAATATATTCTGAATTTTAACTTCATTTACTTTTTTTTAAACCACTCTAGTATTCTATACACACTTTAACTTAGTGGTATGAAATTATATTTAAAAAGAAACGTTTATTTTTTCGTGATCTTAGTTCTTTTACTAAATTTTCTACAGAATTTCTAATTTCTTTCACGTGTTTAACAATATCTTCCTTACATTACCGAATATTTAAAAAAAAAAAACTTAAGTCTATAACTGTTAATTGCTTTTCTTACGTTCATGATTTCCTTCTTCTGTGTTTATATTTTCTTAATTCTAGCTTAACTTATTTATTATAATGTTTTTTATTTCTGTCTCATCACTCGTAATTCTAACATTTTATCCCTTTTTATTTTTATTCATTTTAACGATATGGATTGTTTTCATTTACTCCATATTCAAATATTTCCTTACAATTTTTATAATACTTGTTTTATTCCTCGATCATAATAGATCATCTACAGGTTTTACTCAGAAATTTCCATTCACAACTTTACAGTTTAATACCATTTATATCTAAATGTATTTCTTTCTCATATAGTTTTTATGGTCTTCAAAGTTTCTAACATCATATTTAGTTTTAAATCCCGATTACCTTTAAGTGTGTTGATAATTTTCATTTCTAATTTTACAACCACGTTCAGTGTTTCATCCACACACACACCAAAATATTTTCTTACATTTTCTGATATTTAGTCTATGTCATATTTCAGTACTTCAAATGAATTTACACTGCTCACACTATTATTTTTTCATGTTTTAGAGACACTAACTATACTAATTTTTACTATTTTTCCTGCACTAATTGCATCTATGTCAGCACTCATGCTAAACTAGCAATTGTTTTGCATCACATGCATAAAGAAATTCTTAAAACCAACTTTTTCAATATCGTACTCAAATTACTGTTTTCCAGATGGGAATTACCAGTATTCTTTGGTTTTACTCTGTTACATCTTTTTAAATTTTAACATCATCTACTTTTAATTCTAAACATACATCTTTTAAACAGTTTTTTCTTTTAATGATAGCCTTACCTTATTTGTTCAAATTAATTCTTTCATTCACCTTCTTTACTACCTTTCAGTACCTTCATAAATATATTTCATTCACTATGCAAACGCAATGTCTTTCACTGACATTCTGTTTAATAATACCACAAGTTTCCTTAATTGACAAAAAGCGAATTATTTCTCATTTCAAAATAGAACTACTATATTTTTGCACAAACATTACCTTTATCCATTCAAGCCACCCCTTAACCTGTAACTGACGTAGCGATAGGAAAGGAGATTCTTATCATATGCTCTTTCGACATTTGAGGTTTCTAGAACTTCTTTGACAAGTATATCAATACCATCAGAAAAATATACTTAACACTTTTACCCAGTTTAAAGGCAACATACTGTTATAAGAATGGTTTTAGTTAAATTTATAACACAAATAAACGCATTTTTGTGCTAAATAGGCATAAACATTTAGATTCAGAATATTTCTTTTTAATCCGATGTAAGACTTGAATTTCATTCATGATACGGATTGTCTCTTGATTTTCTTTTTGTTTACCTTACACTAATAGAAAATTTTTATTTTACAAGTTCAGCTTTTAATGAAATAGAAATAAAAACTACGATACACCTGCTGTTTTTAAGAAAAGGAACTTTGATATATTTCTGGAAATGTAAATGTAAATGCTTTTAGAGTTTTCTTTCAATAACGTACGTTGATTTTCATTACTTTACTAACTTCAATAATTCTCTTATTAGCTAATATGAATGAAAGAAGATTGTCAAAAATGTGACACAGTATAATTCTTACTTACGAACATATATGTACCTTTACCAGCATACAGATATTACCGATTGAAATGAAGAAAGATACAGATATTTTACTCCAATCTACATTAAATTAAAAAAAAAATATTTAAACTTTCATACATTCCAAAGAATAAACGAAAACTCAATAGATATTGTCATGTTTGTATATATGAGATAAAAATTTTATGAATGGTATCTAAAGTAATGCTTAGAACTTCATAAAAGCGAACATTCACTATGTTAATACACATATCATCACTTATTTACATTAATCAATGTAATATTAATCATTACAAGTACTATATGCATATATATTTAAAGTTTAATTGTCTTACAATTGAATAATTAACTATTGAGAGAAAGAGGTTCATATCTTACACTATTTAATTCACATGGAACAAATTTTTCCATCAACCACATTGAACCACGTTTATTAAATTCGCCAAAGCTCTTTTATTTCTGCATTTTCACACTCACGACACATTTTAAATGTAACTATTGATTACCATTTTAAACACCGATATCATAACTCAGTGTAAAACTACATCATAACTCATTTTTTCCCTACTAACTACAATTTTATATATTCAAGAAGTACATCTAAGACATGATCATTTTCTATGTTCTAGCAAAATCGATTCAATTGCGAACATACTATTAAGACTTGCGATTTTAGAAGACTTGCATGTATTAACGATGTCAAGTTTCGTTTCTTCGTTTTTATAAGATTCA